CCCCCCCCCCCCCCCCCAACAGAGACAAAGAAACAGAAGAATCTTTAACATCAGATAAAGCAGTGCATTTGTTTCAGTATTGACCTCTTGAATTCTTCCAATCACAGCCACACATACATAAACATCAAAAAGGTTTCAATAAACTTTGCAACTAAAACTTTCAATGACCAATCCAGCAAAAGTAATATAAGATTAATATGTGGAGCATAGTGGTATCAACAATGTACCTGGCAATCCGCAGCCCTGCAGGTCAAGCAACATAGATGTTACTAGTTATTCTCTTTGTGCATGTAAGGTCGAATTATTCTATAGACTTCATCAAAACTTAAGTACATATGTAAACGAACAAAAAGGAAGCATCAGAGTGTCTCCAAAATTTAATGCATCAAGAAGGAACCAAAGCATTTAACGGATCTAGTCCCTCCATATAATTCAACGAATTTATTGTGCTCTTAAAGTTTTGACTAGTTTCCAAACTGAAACCTACAAGGACTAGTTAACATTTTAAAACTAAATCTTACGGAGTGATAGAAACAACTAATCAAAAAAAAAAGTTGCAGAAACAAAAAAAAAGAATTGGAAGAGAAAATAAAATGATACTAATAAATCCCAACACAAAATCATATGGAGTTGCAAACAAAAAAAACCATTCATCAATTTCCACAACTTAGCAATAATAACTTAGCCTAATGCAAGATGGTTAAACCAAAAAATGAAAAAAGAAAAACTTAGCCTAATGCACGAATAACAATGGTGTTTGATAAAAATGTTTCCAAGATAAAAGTCAATAGAGTAGAGCGCATGCCGCATGGTCAACGTTAACTATCAGCAATGATTTGTTGAAAGGCTCAAAGTACACTCTTAACTCACAAGATGCCCTTGTTTACTCCACTATTGGGGTAATCAAGAATAGGTTTTATAGGTTGTGATTTGTTTTCAATATCTCTGCATTAAGACATTTAACAAATAAACTATACAGCATGTGAAATGCTAACTATCCATTCTGATTTCATTTGTCAAGAATATCTGCTGGTATTTGCACATTTAGTTGCTAAACAGAATGCCAGAAACTAAGATGAAACTCAACATTTGACAACTCCTTTTCACAATTCAAGAAGATCTCAATATCAAAAGAGAAGATCACCAAGATAGCCCCCAATGATATTTTGTAACAAATAATATAAAGGAACCAAAGACAGCCCCCAATGATACTTTGTAACAGATGATATAAAGGAACCAACACATCCCTAGTAACACGCCAGCACAGCTTCTAAGGAATCACCCTTTATCACATGATAGACTAACAGTTAGTCACATATGTACTGATCAGAAAAATGTAGTTCTAAGTGCGTCACTACCTTGCCCGTTGCAACAACTCCCAATGCAGTGGACCAGTGGTCGTGTTAAAAGCGCCAGGATAACAGAGCAGATGAGCACCTAACATATAGGAAAAAACAGTACTTGCTAAAATTGAGCTCATAGTGGCATGTTAAACCAGACGTAAATAGCCCATTTACTTCCATTTGCAAAATCTAGATGAGGCAGGAATGCAATTCCTATGTCACAACTAAATTATGGTCTGGGTAATGCCCATTTTATGATGTAGAGAATATGATGAACCACATATTCTGCAGTGTATTTCAACTGTCTTTAACTTGCCAATGCTTCCATTCCGATCACAAAAACGTACAATCGTTCAATGTCTTAGAAGTGAAGAACTTCTTTTGATAGGAGATCAGAAGCGAAGAACTTAACTTGGACGTCTACAAAGTTCAGTAGAATAGGAGAAGACAGAAAGGATAGGTCTTCTGGATGAACATTACATAACAAAGCAGAATAACTTCCTTGCATAGGGAGAAGATGGGAAAGTAAAATAATGCTAGTACACAAATTAAGAAGGAGATAACTAATACCTCTTGCAGCATAGATAGCTGCCAGTTCTTGGAAGCGAATGTCGTAGCATATACCAATACCAATACGACCAACCTCTGTGTATGAAATTCACAGTTACTTCTTCTAGCTCTACTCAATGGTAGCAAATACTTTGGTAAAAAACCACAGAAACATTACACACATTTGCATCAATTAAATTCAGGAAAAAAGAAAAATGTTGGAAATATGATGTGCATCATTCCTAGTGAAGAACTGCAGCGAACAAGATATCTTCAAAAAGTGGACATCAGTACAAAAGAATAAAACAGCAAGTGCTGATTATTAGATTGACACTCACCATCAGACTTAGAAAATAGTTGCAAGTTTCCTCCTACGCCAGAATACCTTATAAACTTTTAACTTGAACTAGGCAAA